TGCAGAAAGCCATGAATTATCTTGGGTAACACTTCCTCTGCTTTGCACCCCAATTCACTTCAGGGCTAGGGAAGAGAGGGGGAAGAGAGGGCAAGAATTGATCCTCTTCTTGCTTTCTAATCTGCAGCCCTTTCTTAGCATATGCCTAATGTGTCATCTGCAAGACTGTCAAAGTCCTCAAATTTGATAAGGGCTCCATGTGGGCCGTTTGCCGACGTTGTACATTGATCACTAACTGGGCTGTCATCTGGGATGTTCGAGCGTATCGACAGCCTAAATTCCGGGCCGATCTGAATTCTATGTGATTGACCCATATGAACTAGTCGTTTTGTTTGTGCTATTGGCCCAGATCGCAGGCCAATCTGGGTGGCTGCTACTGGAAGGTCCGACAGGCCAACATGCAACACAGTATATCATGTATTTCGTTATCCAGTAACTTTATTCTATTGTCTTTTACAGTGCTCGTGCCTTTGCCCATCTAGACCTGCCTACTTGTCGTGAGCTGTGGTATGCACCATACAGGCCCCTTGGGGGGTTGGCTAGGAGATTAGAGGGTTCAGTCACTCTTTTGGGCCTCAGGCCCTCAGCACTGTTCCTGCGTGCTCTTCTGGTCGGCCTCGGTCCCTGTTCGGTCTGGTTCAGAGATGCCCCTTCAGCCCGAGTGTAGCCACCAGCATTATGGGGCCGATACAGGCCCATCAGGGCGACGGATAGGCCAGGTTCACATCGAGGGTGCTCACTATCAGTTTGGGTGCCAGATTGCTGCATCTCATTTGTCCTGTAGTGAGGAGCCCGGGGCGCAAGTTTTCCGCGTTGCTTTTGAGTTCGGGCGCCAGTTTTCCAGGTTGCTCACTTTTGACTCGGGTGGCAGTTCTGGCCACACAGCAGTAGCCCCAGAGTTATATATAGCTGCGCCAGCCTCATTTAAGGCACGGAGGTTGTGTACACACTGCTGGGCAGCGCTGTTCGGTGGAGGAGATAGGCAGAGCAGTGGACTAGGAGGTTTGAGGGTGGAGGCCAGACTGAGAGAATCACCTGCACCATAGCTCCTGTTCGTCTTCCGGCATCTTCCACCTGCATCATAGCTACAAGTAAACAACTTTGTGCTGGTCAGTATCTGGTTCCACCGTCTAGAGACTGCGAGAGGTCTTCTTTTTGTCTTCCTCCCTCCCTCTGATTCTTCTTCTTCTCCATCTATGAATGAGAGAGAGAGAGAGAGAGAGAGAGAGAGAGAGAGAGAGAGAGAGAGAGAGAGAGAGAGAGTTGAGACTTGGTGACATTGGACTCGGACCGAGGCAACATTTGAAGACTTATCTTCATCTCTCTCCCTCTTTGCCTCTCCTCCCTCCTCACCTGTGGATGCTGATCTGTCAAGGGGATCTTCGTCTATTTTGGCGCCATGCCTTTGTGCCCTGTTGATGATGAAGAGCGAGTTGCAGTCTGATTGGTTTTGAGTCAGATCTGTGTGTACCAGACTTCTGCTGCAAAGTACTTCGCTGATTCTCCTTGGTCGGTTCTTGGGTTCTGCCTCATGCCCATCCGATTGCCTTCGGGCATCCGACATGAACTGTCCGCCCTGCCTGCTACGGTTTCTTCTCTCTCTCTCTCTCTCTCTCTCTCTCACACACACACACACACACACACCTGCTTGGATTGGGTTTTTCGTGCACACGGATGGCAAAGACTGCGGGCAAATCTGAGTTTTCATGAGCGATCTGAATTTGCATCCAACGGCCCAGATTGCAGGTCGATCTGGGAGGTTCCTCAGAAGGGCAATACAGGCCTGTATGACACAAGATGTGCCTATGTACTTCTGAACCTGCCTACTTCGCTGCTGTGCAAGAGATGCCCTGCGCGCCATGGTTTCTCTCTGTATCTCATTTCAAAGCGTGAATAATACTGAATATTGTAGGTACTAGGTATGTGATTTGAGCTCTCTTTCTCTCTCGATCTTTATCCCTCTCTCGCTTGCAAAGGTATGTGATTTGAGCTCTCTCTCTCTCTCAATCTTTCTCTCTCGCTCGCAAACTGTAGTACGTGAACCTGGTGCAAAATGAATTTCGAGGCTACGTGAATTTTTGGAGCAAGTTCTCATAGCATAAACTGAGTGGGCTCTGTTATGTGAACTTGGTGCTATGTGAAGATCGACGTAAATTCATGATAGGTGGACTTGGATGTTTAGCTCTCTCTCTCTCTCTCTCTCTCTCTGTGTGGCATGTGATCTTGGTGCTACGTGAACTTCAATGCAACTTGGAGTGGCATGAGAGTGGTTGCTAGCTTTGTCTCTCTCTCTCCTTTCTTTTCTCAACGCCTTAGATTGTCATAGAACGAGGCTCTCTCTCTCACTCTCTCTCAACACAGACACATACACATGGTCTCTCTCTGCACATGTCTCTTTCTCAGCCACACCCGACTCCACACAAACACGCGCTTGCTGTCCCGACCGGATTAGCACTGCCTCAACATGTTTCACCCTCTTCGATCACTCTTTTCTTTCGCTCTCACTCTCTGGATGCATGATTCCCTCCTCATCATTCCATTTGACCCCTCTATGTTACCTTTGCCCCCATTCAAGGCGTGCATATCCACTCTCCCTCCCATGTCCCTGTTTCCATCTCTCTCATGCTCACATAAGCATATACGACCCTAAAACCTCCCAACCATCTCGCTCTTCTCCTCCTTTGCCTCTCCTGCGCCTACTTGTCATGGCCCATCATATTAGTTACTGATTGTGGCATTGTTCTCTCCTTCCTTTTGCTGCCTGTTGCTTTCTTCTCCCCTCCCATAACCGGCCCCTGCATCACCTCCCCTTCTCTCTCAGACTTCCTGTATCTCTCTCCCTATCCCTCTCACACAAACACATGCCAACAAAGCTATTTGCTCAGATCTCCATGAGGGAAATTGCGAAAGAATGAAAAAATGACTCGCCAAACTCTCTCTCGCTCGTTTTCTGTTGGAGGGAGGGAGCGGGGAAGATAAGAGGAGTGAGGTAGAGATGGAGATAGGGAAATCGGCCCCGCAGTAGTTTGGAGTGCAGAGGGGAAAATAAGAGGAGTGAGGCTGAGTGGTCCTGCATGACAAAACAGTGGTTCAACATCACAACAACATACCTGTGAGGTAATACGGCAGGAAGACTGAAAAGTAAGCGGGTGAGCTCCACTGCCACAAATGCATAATGTATCCTATTTTTGTTGCACAGCTTCTGGAAGATGCGTCAGCGCCCAAGATCCAACTGCAGCAGGTTTCCTGGTGGGGTAAAGAATGTTGAAGTATAGTAAATTATTCTTGCCCTACCCTCCCTTGGCCGCCAGGGGAAATAGAGCACTTCATGTGGAGCGAGTTCTGAAGAGCTGAAGCAATAGACAAGCTGATTATTCAGAATAAGATGGAAATTGAGCTTCAAAGGGTGTTGTGATTTGGTCATCCTCCAACGAGTGACCATGTTGTTCTCCAATGACGAGCGAGTTGCAGTTCCAGGATTGTTGTGGTTCCAGGTTCTGGTGATCACTTCAGTGATTGGTTCTTTATAGGCGATAGGCGATGATGATGTTGGCAGAATGGGAGCTAGGCTGCCGGAGTCACTCGGCTCTCTGGGACATTGACCAACGTTGTTTAGACCTTGTCCGGCTGGGTCACCTTGGTCCGTCTGAGGCCACCTGGGTGGCCTAGCTGGTAGCCCAGGATAGGAGGGGTTATTCGTCCTAGGCATGGTTTTTTATATATTTACTGGGCTACCAGCCGGCCACCTGGGACCGATCGGCCTGGCCGTGCAGGGATCAGGGAAGGGCCCAGCAAAAGTTAAAAGAACCAAAATATCTGTAAAAAGTATTATGTTATGCAGAAAAATTAACTGAGCAAGTTTTCCCTGAAGTTCACATCGGAATTCATTACCAAATTTGACAGGGTTGTCAGAACGCCTACAGCTACAATAGGCCGTTGGCGCGCCCTACCAGTCGGGCCGACCCTTAGGTGGACTGGTCTTCAGTCTGTAGAGGGCCATTCATTGTTTTTTTTTACGAGTCTGAGTTCAGGGCTGTACTGCCCTTGCTGAGTGGAGCCGAAATCCCCTGAAATTTGAAATGAAAAATAAGTTTTTTTTTTTTCAGCTCTATTTTTGAAATATTTTTTGGCCCATTGGTAAATTGTTCCTTGCCGTTCTGGTAGCCTAGCTTGTTCATTTAATGTGAACGGTTTTTTGGTGTATGCGTGCGGTCCTTATGCATGGGCCATGCTAGCCTTCTCTGTATCGTCCAATTTTAATGGACGTTGCAAAGGATGGTGGGTGGGCTGGGAGATTGCTAACGGAGGCCTGAATTTTGGACAATGCGTTATGTCATTTCTAAGAAAATCCAAGGGCCCTTTCAACTAAAACATGCCACCAATTCCGAGAGTGGACAACGTATTAACTAACGGGGGAAGAGGAAAAAAGGACCTACCAAGGCAAAAGTGCGCTTTCATGCAAATTTGCAATTTTGCCAACATTCCAATTTCAGAATTTTCAGAATTTGCAGAAATGTCAGCAGAGGAATTTCCCATGTTGCAGATGACCTCATATCGGGCACACAGCAACCTTGAACCAAAAAAAAGCAGGAAAAAGCACAAAAGAGATATTAAATATTGATCCTCAAACCCTAACTTCAGTTTTGTACCCCGTTACCCAAGATCTGAAAATTCCGTCAACCACTCGTGAGTGGGGTGAGCCCCCTGGTCATTCTAGTCTTGAGGTTGAGGTTCCATTGCTCCCCACGAATAGGTTAGAGCTTCCTGTATCTGAAAGATACGAATGAAAGGAATGGAAAGTCGTGCTTGTGTTGGAGTCTATTCTGAAGAACAACGAGGTAACTTCGGAAAGCCCATTTTCTTTTCAAGATCTTACACCTCTGCGAAAATAAGTGCCGCTGATCTGCTTTTAGCAGAGGATGCTAATTGTTTGGGTGGAGGACTCTGAACTTTCGATCCAGGAGTAGGCCGGATGATTAGTCGGCTGAAGACCGGGCCTGCGTCCATCAAATCCCAAACACCGTATGCATTCATTATTCTGCTGGATGATTCTGGATCCCTATTTCTGGGATTGGGTTGTTGTCCAGGATGGAATTAACTTCGTGGATGTTTCTGTTTGTGATGTTGGGCTGATGATATGGGTCATCGAATCCCAGGAAAGGGTTACTGATTGGAAATTTTATCGTTTGTGCATGTTTTCTGTTACGATACAGGTTTGTGATGGTCCTTAGATCTCTCGATGAAATGGTGATAGACATTCCTAAAGCTCCTCAGTGGGTTGCAGCGATGCTTGCAAAGCTTGTGGTTGGAGGAGTATTCGCACTGTCAGTTGCTGGAAACATGTTGAGGGACGAGCCGGGAGACAGCATGCTGAACGAACAAGGATCAAGGATGATTGCCACAGTGCTTGATGTTATTCGCAAGGAGAGAGGAGAAGAGGAGATGGCTTCGGCATTCAATGCTTCTGGCTTGCGGATTGAAGATTTTTTGTCGCCCATGGAGAGGAGGAGGGGTGTAGAGGCTTTTTTGGAGAGGGAGATGCTCTTGTCACTCATGCCGGTGAGTGTGGCTGGATTTGGACTACCTCTTGCTCGTGAGGGTTTGTGCTGTGCCAGAAGTTCGCTCGTCTGATCATGGACGTGGGCATAGATGGCTGACAAGTTTGTCGAAAGTTGCCCCGCATTGGAAGGTAAACAGGGCCCCTTGGTGGAACCTGTTTGTCTGTGCCTCGTTGTGTCACTCAAAGCACCAAGTGGGAAACAAACCTTTCACTGATGTGGGGAGTCGGTGGTCTTGTGGTCCTGTCTGCTATGGGGTGACCAGCAATACCAATTATGGCGTATGCATCTGTGGGGTAAAGGCCAACACCTGTGACGGATGCAGCTGTGGGTAGACTAGGAACGCCTATGACAGATGCAACCGTTGCCTCCATTCTGCTGCATGCCACCACAATCCCATGAGAGAATACTCCTTGGGACGCACTTGCTTGCCTGTCCTGGTGTTGGCTATCTCTTTGTGACTGTGTGTCTGTCCCTCAGGTTGAGGTATGTGGATCCGAGTGAATGCAGAATACGGTTCAATATACCCAATCCAAGACGAGCCTGACGAGGTAGTTTGTTAGCCGAGGATATCACTGTATGAATACTGGAGGTTGTTGACTGCATCCTCTTGTGCTCTAGGAGGACACGTGAACGATTGTAACCTCAAAGCAAAGAGTCATTTGAGACGGGCCTGCTTTCCAGTCTATAGTTTGCTACAGCTGGCTGCCTCATGCACCACGCACAACACACGTAGTATAGACTGGGCTTAATGCCTGGTCTCAGGTGCCTTTTCAGTGCCTACTATTGCGCAGACCCTTCTTTGGGGTCACAGTTCGATTCTGAACCATTGGCATGGCACCCAGACACTTCCGCCGACCAGTCTTAAGTGCAGCACCAGAGCACTCCTGTGCAGCATAGTTCTGTCCCAAATTTCTGAGTTTGGTGCTCACTGGTTCATTGTACTAGGCATTTAAGTTTTAGATGATCCATGCCTTCGGCCAGTCCTTATCTGAGTTAGTGTTGGTTTTGTTGTTCGTCAAAGTCAGTGCACTCTATTCCCATCCTTGCGAGGACTTCTATCCAACTACCCTTCTTCTGTACTTGGAGTCTGTGTTTTTGGTTGGAGGGGGTAAGTAGAGAGGGTTTGGGAAAGGGGAATACAATCCATCCCCCAAATGACCAGATCCCTACTTGGTTCAAGGCAGGAGAGTGTCAGAAGGGACCAGTACAGCTCTGCAAAGCCAGAAAATGATAGAATGCACCCGAACTATACTTCCGTACGGGAAGTGGTATGTTATCTGCGTATACGGCTGGTTACGTTCGGCTGAGATGGCCAATGGTCATTTCTTATCAAAGTGAACGACATTCCGTTTACCGTGTGTGAGAGTTGAGCGAGAATTGCAGTATTCACTTAAGCTCCAGCTTAGTTCTGGTATCGGCCTTGTCCAAGAGAACCATTTCCTGATGGCTGACCCAGTGACCTTGCACATTTGCACACTATGCCTTGGCCCAGTGTCATGAGCAAGCTCTTGTCGTGGTCGTCCGTTGACTTTACATGCATGAGTTTTCCTGTGGAGGTTGTTATAATAAGGTCTCATCGTGGATGTCTTTTGGTGGTCATCGCTGTGTCAGGTTCTTTACGTATCCAGTGGACTCGTCCCCTAGGGAGCTATCGCCATTGGAGGACGGGATAGCACACATCTGTGCCCCCATGTGCACAATGTCATAATACCCTCGCATCCCCCCACCTGGCGTGTGCTTATCATTGTTTTGGTTGCAAGGTGAACCCAATGTTCCCCTGCCCTAGGGTGCTCTCTCCTTTGGATCCCTGGGAAGTAAACAGGTCCTCACGTTTTCTCGGTAGTGTCCATGAAGGCATTCTTCTACCTGTGGACATCTCCTTTACGCTCCCCACCCGCCTTTGCCTATATTTTCAGGAACTGGTCTTTCTGGGTAGCCGTCGCCCCTTCTGTCTCCTTCCCTCGTGGCTATGTCAGTTTACTGTGCATGCCTGGATCCACCTTTGGCTTATGTGAAGTCAAAGAATCGTCAACGTCTGAAACAGCGGAAGACACGAGTCATGCATGGACTGACCAATAATGCAGTTGGCATGTGTGTAGTCTCATATCCTTGCATTGCCTTGCCTCATGGATGTTTCAGCCTGCGACATAAGACCAGATGCGAAGACCGAGATCGTCACCATAGGGGCTAGACAATCTAAAACAGGCAAAGACATAAGTCAGGCATGGACTAACCTGAAAATGCAGCAACATGAAAATGTGACAGATGTCTGAACTTGCACTCTGAGCATGGAGGGATCCATGCGTAGAAGAGACCCCCCTGCACTGTCATCTTTCTCTCGATCTCTCTCTGAGGAAATACGGACCTGTGAAAGGCACAGCCTTGAGCCGGTGATGCACTGAACGCACCTCAAAGAAGACTTGCCATGACAGTTGGCATATCCTCGAGCTTGGGCACCGCCTAGGTGGACTTCTCCACTGAACCTCTCCTGCATCTCCTCTACCCGTCTCAACTCTCTAGCACTAGACTGCACGCGTTAATTGGTAGCCTGGGCTCCCAGTTTGTGAACGAGCTAAATGACCGGTGAAAGGTACAGCCTTTAGCCGGTGATGCACTGAAGGTGCCTCAAAAAAGACTTGCTATGGCAGCTCGCAGATCTACGAGCTTGGGCACCACGTAGGGCATCTCTTCTCTACTGCTCTACACGCCCTAGTGCTAGGCTGCTCTCATTAATTGGCAGCCGAGGCTCGGAGTTTGTGAACGAGTTCACCTCCACACTGGGCCAGCCCTCCTCCGTAAGGAGCAATCTGGCAGTCGGACTTTGCACTCGGTGTCTATTGCATACTAGTGAATACTTCAACAAGTATGGGCAGAACCAAAGATCAACCAAATATAGGATGAGCATGTATGCAGCGGAAGTCTGAGAAATGGACTGACTCGCATAGACTGTGGCATTCTGAGCTACACGGGCCCCAGTTAGGGCCCGGTTCCAGACAGGCAGGGTAAGCCTACGGGACGACGATTCAGATGAGGCCCAGATGGGCCTGGACCATGATGGTTCAGGCAGGCCCAGGCCAAACGGCCACAAGGCCGGTACCAGTCCGGCCTAGGACCTACCGGTGGCGCTGCAGAGGCTGCCACAGTTTTGGGCGCCAACCAGTTTTGAAACTGGACCGTTGATCTAGATCAACGGTCCAGGCCGGTAGGTACCAGCGGGTAGGAGGCCGGCCCCACACTACAAAAGGCTGGGTACCAGCCTCCGGAGGTTAGAGTTAGTATGGACGAGGTTAGTCTTCAGGTTTAGCGCAGCAGCCCAGCGTTAGCTCGATTAGCGCAGTGCTGCAGCAGCGAGGAGCAGCGAGAGAGCAAGGTTCAGCGGAGAGCGGATTAGCGCAGCACTGGGTGCCTCGCCAGTTACCGGCCCAGCCTCCCTTGCAGCGCCTCAGTCTGAGTCTACTTCTGGGTTCTCCTACGGGACTACTGCAGCATGAAGGATGGCTACGAACTCTGATAACATTTGGAACAGCGACATTGGGACTACGAGTTGAGGACTATTTGGGGATCTGATTTCATCTTCCTTCTGGAGATGTACTTGACATTGTGAGATCGATATCTGGGGTATTGTGAGACTTGACATTCGTGACATTTTGGATTTTCGTCACTTCTGACAATTCAAGATACTATCTTTGGAAACATCGAGTTGACGTCATCTTCCCTCTCTCCTCTCTCCTTTCGTCCATGGGTGATCTCAGTCCCTGGCCCTTCGTCTGTGTCTGAGGCCAGGGCATTCAAACCCCTGATGAATGTTTGAGAGTGTTCGATTGCAGTCCGAGTCAGGTCCGAGGCAGTCCAAGGTATCTCAAGTCTTTCGCTTGCATTTGTATTAACTCTGTATTATCTGGTCGGTTCTGGGAAGCTGCGCCATACTTATGACTATGTTTCACGAGTATGCAACATAGACTGAACCCATCCAGATATCACTCAACACACAAGCAATCGGAGATGGTGGGGTCTGAAGCCAATCATAGACGATTCTTCAGGCCCCGTACAATCATACATAGATGAAAGGTGGGAGGAGAGACGATTGAGGTGGGAGGTATAAGCAGTGCCAGATGTCACCGAGATAGACTCCAGAAGGTCACCGATATGGTGGTCCAAAATGTCACTGAACAAAGAGCAAAATGTCGTGGACAATAAGTCACCAATGTCGGAGATACAAAGTCCTAATGTAATCGGTGTCCAATCTGTGATGCCGCCGAGTATCACTCCCGACTATCTCCAAGTCTCGAATCCGGTAGTATCACAGCCTCTTACCACCGAAGTCCGAACACTGATCTCTGTCCAACTCGTACCAAAGTGTCCAATCTGAAGAAGAAGAATAAATCTGAAGACGAAGAAGAAGAAGAATAGGTCTGAAGGAGAGGAAGAAGAGGCGGCAGAGGAGGGAGAGATGGTGAGGTAGGGAGGAGGAGAATCCTCGCTGCCCTGTCCCTGGCCCTAGGCCTTACCTGCAGGTGCGTGCGAGAGCTGTTGAAGACCTCCCTCAAGCTGGAGCTATGGCGCCACAGGTAAGTGCCAGGTAAGTACCTCCTACCCTCTCTATCCCTATGCAGTCCAGCGCTAAACCATGCCTCTAGCGCTGCGCTCTAAACAGAATAGTGCAGCGCTCCTCCAGTGTTCCGCTGCTCCAGAATGTGGGAATGGCCGCTGGACCGGCCTAAGTACCGTCCGGCGGCCGGTCGGCCTGGATGCCGTGGGCTGAACCGCCGAAATGACCGTTCAGCTCAGACCTGCGGGCGGCAGCCTCAAGAGTGCCCGGGTCTGCTGGGTGCTGCGGCGCCAACCGGTGGCCTAACAGGGCCTACCGGGAGAAAAAGGCTTGGCCTTTGGCGAGGCCGGCCTGGGTACCCCCTGAACCGGTATGTCGGGCCTGTGAAGGCCCGTGTGGAATCGCAGAATGTAACAGTGTCCCTCATGACCTGTGTGATCTCCAGAGGTCGTATAGCCCAGGAACTGGCTCGTTGTCGGAGATCTCTTGCGAGGCCCGAAGTAACGTGGTTGGGGTCCCTTTGTCTCCACCCTGGTCTAACTCAGCAGTAAAACCTGGATCAAGAGCTGGCCTGAGCACCACAGACAAACACAGGCATTGCCAAAGCAATTTTGACCGGTTCAGCACAAACTGGTAGAGAATGAAACGGACTGACATTGACAAGACATGAAACATAAATCAAATGCACTTCAAACAGACTAAATATGTGTACGCCTTCCTCGTCTGGGGCCCTCATGATGGCTGAGGCTCTCCTGGGCAGGGGCAGTCATAGGTGCGAAAAGGGGCAGTCATAGGTGTGAAAAGGGCCCACGCTGGCAAGGGCCCTGCTCCAAACAATGGGTGACCTGGTGTGGTAGGCCCTAGAATGCCACAGTGTGCACAGTGCCCTTCCGCCCTCCCATGGTAAATATGATGCGCTAGGCAACCGTGAAACTCCGCGTGGAGAGTCGTGCTCCATTCTGATAGTCAAGCTGGAACCGTAAATGGAAGATATGTTGACAATGATATTGTTATTCCAAGTGGGGACGTCTTTGTCATCCTGAGGATCGGCAGGTTGCATAACAATGCGGTGACATGATGGCTGATGCACTGTGAAAATGTTGTGTGAGCCACTGGATGGTGAACACCTCTAGCTTGTGGTGCGTTTGTCCTCCCATTTTTGTTGGTGCGTGGTGCAGGCCAGTTTCGGGGAGTGTTGCACAACCTGCTTGCCGGACAAACTAAAGGGGAAGCAGGTGTGGGTGTGAGAACATTTAGAGGAGGACCCTTCAAGCGCATCTGAGTGTTGCGCAATCTGCTTGCCAACCACAGTTTTGCAACATTTCGGCTGGTGACTCAAGATTCTGGATGATCTAGTGGACATTGACTGGACCTGAGACCCGCCCGACATGTCTTGCTCCTGGCCGAGAACAACAATCCAATACACGTAGAAAATTCCTGCAACGGGGCATGCAAAAGTGTTGCACGACCGACGGGCGGCGCCCCTAGGTTGGCTGGTTGCTGAACAGCTGACAGATTCAGCAGTCAGCACCTACCAGTCGGGAGTTGGACGGCACCCTGCAAAAAAAAATAAAAGTGCGGCAGGGTCCATAACCCCCAATAACCCCAGAAACTCTCCCCCCTCCTACCCCCCCCCAACAAAACAAAACATCCCTATACTCCCCCCTAACACCATGGAACTGTTCCCCAATGCCTTCATACCCCGCCCCTAGATTGGCCGGTTGCTGAACAGCTGACTGATCCAGCAGTCAGCACCTTCCAGTCAGCGGTGGGACGGCACCCTGGCAACAAAATAAAAATGCGGCAGGGTCCATAACCTCCAATAACCCCATCAACAACTCCATACCCCCCTCCCCCCCCCCTTCAAACATACCTATACACCCCCCTAACGCCCTGGAACTGTCCCCCAACGTCTTCATACCCCCCTCCAAATCCCTACATAACGTTTTGTCAGTGGATTTGGCTGTCCTCAGCAAGCACAGTACTGCCTCGAACTCAGATTTGAGAAAAGACGGTGGATGGCCCTCAACGGACTTCTCGGCAGACTCCTGATCGATCGGCCCTACTGGTATGCTCCAAAATGGTCGGCGGGTATGTAATCATTGCACGAAGTCAAATGTGTAACAAACCTCGAGCTCAACATGCTCCCTTTTCCTTGCCATGTTGTCTTGGATTCTCTGAATGATTT